ACAACTCATATGGGTCCTTATATGGTCTTCCTAATAAAAACTTATGTTGGAGAGCCTGCTTCTGAAAAAGCATACTGGTGGGCTCAGCCCTCTACTTTAGAGCATGCACAGGTGTCCTGTGACTGTTTCATGTCTTTTCTCTGTGACAATAGAAAGCCTTCTAACTAGCAACAGAGCCAGCTCTGGGTATAGATTAAAAAGACACAAACAGAATGGATCTCTCTTTCCTGAGGGCCATTAAGGGAAGGAATTCTCTGGATAGGAAGAGGCCTCAGCATTTATCTCCCTATTAAGTTCTCTATGCGGCCTGTGAGCACCTAGCCTTGCTCTTTCCTCTGTCCCTTTTACCGTTTCCAGATCTTCAGAAAAAGAACATTAGAGAGAGAATGACCTTGTGAGTGTCAAAAGTTTTGAAGAGAATCAGGTGAAGAACAACTTGCTTGACCTAATCTAGAAGTGGATTGACTTGGCAACCATGTCCTGAAAGGAAAGGAGTAAGTAACTCATTCGTTGGCCATACCAACTCCTGAGATCTTGATCTCAGGAGGAATGTTTATAGCTACTACTTTTAAGTTTGAGATCACTCCCCTGGGGACAGCTAGGTAGCCCAGTGGATAAAGCACCAGCCATGGAGTCATGAGGACCTGATTTCAAATTTGGCCTCCAAGACTAACTAGCTGTGTGACCCTGGGCAAGTCACCTAACCCCAATTGTCTCACCAAGAAGCAAAAAAAAAAAAAGTTCACACTCCCAAAGACCAAAGTATAGAGGGGAGAATATGCCATAGTTCAGGAGGATATTTTTCCACTTTGTTTCAGTTGCTCTCCTTTTATAAAAGCTAGTTGGTGTTGATTGATTGATATTGAGGAAGAATTAATTTGTACTTGATCTGGAGGCAGTAATCACTGGTGACTGATGTGGGGGGAATGCTGGAATGGATGCTTGAACCAATAGCTGAAGAACCCCACTGCCTCTTAGGGGTAGCACACCCCTAGCACACTGAAGTGGAGAGGTACAGGCAACTGAACTCTGAGGTCTTAACCTGGTAGTAGTTATACTACTAGTATGTTTGTATGTGTGTGTGTGTGTGTGTGTGTGTATGTGTATGTATGTATATATATATATATATACATATATATATGTAGAGAGTGTGTATGTGTATAGATACATACACATACTAGCAGATATATATGTATTATATACAGACACACACACATACACATATACTAGCAGGTATATGTAGATATAGATATAGATATAGATGGGAAAAGTAGGTACTATCTTTCTACATGTACTTATTACAAGTCTCCATAAAGTCTCTGATGCCTTATTGCAATGTGGAGGTGACCCCGTATTCTTGAAGACAAAGCTAGAATAGCCTAGCACAACAAAGACATCAATATATGGAACTGGAAATAGAGTGTATGTTCATCACTTGAGTACCATTTCAGCTAACTTAAAAAAAATGTTTATCAACACAGGGTTTACCAGTAGTGAGATATATACATATACATACATACGTATACATATATATGTATATATATTTTGCCACAATAACTCATGAAACAATATACAATGGCTTGGAGGCTTTAAAGTTCTGAAGTGCACTATATTAGTTAAACTGAAGTTCATTTGGGAATCAGAAAGAATTAACCAAATCTTATCAGGAAACATGAGAGGCATGAAAATTAACAACTATATAGCAACATTAAGAGAGGCATCAGGGAATAGTGAAGAGAGAACTGGCCTTGAAGTCAGGACCACCTGGGTTCAAGGCCTGCCTCTAATATACCCCAGCTTTGTGACCTTGGCAACTCCTTTATTCTCTCAGTGCATTAAGCAACTCTGTAAGACTCTAAGTTGCATAGAAGATGTCCATCCTCATTGCTAGAGGGAGCTTCGTCATCCAGGAGTCCCCTACATTGATGAAATCACAGGTCCCACCCCCATCCCCTATACCTAGTCTATCCATAGTTCCAATACACAGCATGGAGTATTACAGAGCAATTGATACTCTCTTTTTATACCTCCTAGGAGACACTGAAAATACCTGAAGTTCAGTTGGTATAGCTGTCTTATTTCCTTCCCCAAAACTTCTTCCTGTAAATGTCCAACAGGAACAGATAGCCACAATAACGAAATAGAACAAAACCTAAACAGTAGAGGCTCAATTTCTCATCCATCAATTTATTTTTCCCAATTAAACAGGGACTCTAGCAGCAATCCTAATTCCAAATGCCAATTCTGCTTTCTCAAGCTTTCTCCAACTAGCATGTCGATACCTGAAATTAGTAAGAGGTATAGAATGAGACAACTTAAATGGAACTCTTACACGAAATCCTTAAAAATTAAAATCTTGAGATATGTTATAGGTCTTTGGAACATGAGTACATGTTGTAAAAGCTTTGAGATGTTTTCTCATGTCACTCAGGAAATCCTCTTTGATTATATCACATGCACTTTGTTTCACTTGCCACATTAGGCAGATATGAATGTTTCTTGCTGTAAATCAATTGTACCTGAAACAGGTAAATACAATCGTCACCTTCCCAATTGAACTTACCTGTGTGATGGATCTGAAGGCTGGCAGTGGGGGGTGGGAGATGGGAGGTGGGGAGGGTGTTACTTGGAATGTCAACTAAACAAGGATTTACTGAATTCTCTAGGTATGATACCTTCCCCTTCCGCCCCCCCCCCCCCGCCTTCCTCCACCTCCTCTCAGTATAGTTGAACTTTAAGAGGCCCAGGAGAAAGAAGAAATAAGACTTTAAATAATTTATTTGGAGAAACAGTCAGTGAAGAGGAACAAATAATGTTTCGCTAAAAGAACTGGGACCTTTGACACTCCCCTTTTCGCTCGGGTACCTGGAGCCCTAGCCGGATTGCATTAGTGAAATTTTCATTTGATGGCATTTTAATATTCTGCCTTGATGACTTTTTAGCAACATTTACTTTCAGAGGTCTCGAGTGTTCCCTCGGAGGAAATGAAACATGTCAAAGCCCATTACAAAAATCAAAATTTAAATACCTCGGCCACGTTAGGGCTTCCACACAATCCCATCAGCGCTTAAACTGCAGCGCACAACTACTCATTCCCTTGCTCAGTCAGTAATGAGTACATTTGATGAAGCATTCCGGGGTCAGGGAACATACGGGAGTGATCTAACTTAACCCATTGATTGCCTATACTCAAAGGACCAAGGTGGCATTTTATGAAAATAAAATGTTGGAATAATTTCCTCCAACACTTAAGGGAACTGATTTTCTTTCCTCTTTTGGAATAATTACAGGGCTAAACTGACATTATTTATTAATAGTTATCAATATAACATTAATCAGCATTAATAATAAATATTGATATGTATTAATAATTAAATACAACCTGTCTCAATAATAAATATTTATTAATTATAATATTTATTGCCAGAAGGAAGGTTCTGGCAAAGAAAGGGTTAAGCCCAAGTTTAACTATTCTTTGGGAAGATCTGGCTAAATATTCCCTAGGAAAAACATCTTTTAGGCTTTCCTTCACCTGAAGTCCCTACACAATTGTTTGCTTATTGCTACACCATTTTAAAGAGCTCTTGCCTTCTGAGACTGAAAGTAAACACTAGCTTTGCTGGAACAGAGGAAGACTTTTTTCCTTATTGTCTCCCCTCACCATCCAGAAACTTCGACATTCTCTTTGCTTTACTGTGTTCATCGTCAGCCAGACTGATTATCATAGAAACCAAAGCCCAGTCTCCAGCTTGTGATCTGACTCTGCAGCATATTACATTCCATGCAGCATCTTGAAGCTGGCCCCCTGAGTCCCCTGGACATTGATCTTGCATGCAAAAGCAATGCAAGCCACACATGTTGCTATTTGACATCAAAGTGGGAACTGTAAAAATCCAATTCAGCCCACAGATTACTATTCTTTCATTTGGTAGCCCGTTCTCCCTCCCTCTCCTCTCCCTTTCCCTGTCTCTCTTTTTCTCTTGCTCCCCCTCGCTCTCCATTCTGAGCATTTTAGATTTATATTCAAGTTGGGGAATTACCGTGATCCATGACTCTCCAAATAACAAGGTACTTGTGCAATAAAAGTAAGCTATAGACAACAGGTTACCATTGATATTTCAGCTATATTCCTCTAGAATGAGAGGCCTGTCCTCTAAATTGTGGCGCTAGGAGGAAACCATTGAGCCTAATTTGAGAAGACCCACCCTACCAAGAAAATTGAAGACTTTCCCCAGAAATCTCTGAGCAGAGGTGGTTCAGGCAGCAGTTTGGTAGAACAAAAGGAGAACTGGATTTGGAGCAGGAGGCCCTAGCTCTGACACTTTCTACCTTTGTAGCCTTGGGCAAGTCTGTATATCTACCTCATTTGTGAAATGGGATAACCTCTAGGGCCTAGATCTGTGATTCTGTGCATGTGGTGTGCTTTGAAAACAGGTGAATATACCTGATGAACATGAAATGCTCTTTTCAAGCCCTCTGAAATGAATTTTCTGATCCTTCCATTAGAGACTAAAAAGATAGAACAGCCATTCTCTCTCTTAAAGATTTCCAAGAAGTCCACACATTCCCTTCCCTACTGGCAAAAAGGCAAAAGCTTGCTGAGATTTTGAACAAAATTAATACACTTTTTGGAACTTCTGAATCAATTCCATTTGAATTTCAGGCAAAAGTGTTCATGGAGAGGTCATGTTAAATCGATTCAAACTTAGATTCCTCTTTCTAATTAAAATCCCCAGACCAACTACAGTTAGCTTCTGGTTGACAAACCCTTTCAGTTGAGGCTTAATTCTCTGCAGCACATATTCCATTTAGGCTCACACTGGAGAAGTGAACTTTTCATTTTTTGCCCTTTAGGCCCTCAGACAAAGACTGCTATTACTATGATTCCACTCACTGAAAACTAATACAAAGTTGAAGTTAAATATTTCAACATGAGAAAAGGTAGGAAACTCTCCACTGATGTCTGGTGTTCCACTACTAACTTGAAATTCCTTCCAGTCTCTATTCAGGAGCTATGATCCCATCTTCAATGATTTATTAACCCTCCTTCTGTCACCATCTTTCTTCTATGGGCCTAGAAAAATACAAAGGGAAAGAATTGATATGGTATAGAAATGAGGCTTAGTCATCTTCACCAGTATGAACGGAAATAAGTGAGCAGAGTTAAGGAAAGGGCAGATACTTTAATAAGAATGTCATCCTCCCCCCCACACACACTTTTTTTTTCTCAACTAATGGCACAGCTAGTTATTATCCAGAACAAATTTTATTCTCTCCTCCTCAGTAGCGGCATGGTAGAGTTGAAAGGCCACTGGACAAGGGGTCACATGACCTAAATTTTAGACCTACCTCCATCGCTTGTGTGCTCAGTGTCCTTGAACAGGTCATTTTATTTCTCATTTCTTCATCTATAAAATAATATAATTTTATATTATTTACATGTAAAATAGGAATAGTATTTGCACGACCTTCTTAAAGTTATTATAAGGAAAATTCTATTCAACATATACTTTGACACTTCGATGGATATGTGACCAACATCAGTACTATTTATGACAACACATACCATAACCCATGTCATCTTGTTCTGTGTGACTATTTTCCATGTCCTCCTTGCAGGTACACATATCACTGTAGGTACAATACAAGCATTATGTAAATGTGATATGTTATTCTTCTGGCAATACCAATTCTGCCTCTACAAGATTTTAGTAGACTCAAGCTTTTTTCCCTGTCCCACTAATAAAACCTATTCTCAGGTTCGTTCTACTGTGGTGTAATTGTTAATAACATGAACAACTGTTAAATCCCTAACTAAAAGGTGTAAATCCTTTAGAGTTTAATTTCAGATATTAGTCACTAACACATGTATAACTTGAGAGAGGTCAACAACCTTCTTGGTTCACCTGAAATCATAAAGTCTAGGAAGTCAGTTACCTGTAACCTTGAGTACTTCCTTTAGCTTCTTTGATCTATAGATTCCTCATATGAAAAATGAGACATTTGCATTATTTGATTCAAGAGGCTTCTTCTAGCTTTAAGCCATATGATCCCACTTAATCTATATTTAAGGTTTGTCCTAAGTGACTATACAAATAGCAGTGTTGTCTAATAGAACAAACTGGGTTCTAGTCACATAAGCTTTATGATCCCTGGATAAGTCACTTTATCTATTTGGGACTCAATTGTTATTTTTTGTTGTTGTTGTTGTTTTATCTGTAGAACAGATAAAGGAGAAGACTTAGGACCTTTGCAATTCGAAGATTCTTTGTTCCTATAACTTTTAGATTTCTATCCTACATCCTATTATAGAAATATTGTTGTTGAGTTGTTTTTCAGTAGTCTCCAACTCTTCTTGACCCAATTTGGGGTTTTCTTGGCAAAGATATTGGAATAGTTTGTGATTTACTTTTCTAGCCCATTTTACAGGTGAGGAAACTGAGGTGAACAAGGTTAAGTGATTTGCCCAGGGCCACACAGCCACTAAGTGTGTAAAGCTAGATTTTAACTCAGAAAGATGAGTCTCCTTGACTCTGGGCCAGCCTCTCTATCCACTGCACTACCTAGCTGCCCTGTTTTATAATTAAAACCCCCCAAATTCAATGATGTACTAATTTAGGTTTCTGTTGCTGTTTGAAAGTTTCTTTGAAGTGAAGGGACATATTATTAAACATACTATAAAGTTGTGTCTGCCATTAAAAAAAGAAAGACAGATGAACATTCTGGAAATTTTCCGAAATGGTTTATAACTATTGAGACTATAGAAGTCCCATCTTAAACAATAAAACACCAATCCTTTCTTTAAAGAACAAGGACTATAGAAAAGAATGGGTACGAAGGGTAACCATCAACCATGAGAGTAGAATCTTTTCCTATGACCAGTGCAGTAACTTTGTTTGCCTATTTTCTAAAGAGTTTTCTCTCTTCCAGATCTATAAATACCTTTCATACTTCTATTTCCCAAAGAGAGTTTTATCAAGTCAAACACTTCAAGATGACATGTAAACAACAAAAACACATAATCTGAACCACACAACAGTCATTCTTTGAAGGAACTATTGGAAAGTCAAAGAATGTATTTGAAACAGGGAGAGGGTTTGTTTGATTCTTCTTGATGAAAGGCAAAGACACAGAATTTTTTTATTTTCCTGAAAAAAAAATTGGATACTTGTAATATGCTGCCAGATTGCCACACCTGACATTTCAGCTAAGGGATTTTTAAGAATAGAAAGGGGAAATATTGCAATTTATGCTGGTTTTTAGAATTTTTGAGGTGAGTGGGCTTCCCAGGAAAGTTGGATAAATGCCATCCCCAGCCCTGCCCTCAATCCTCTGAAGAAAACTCATCATTAATACAGGAGACCCTGTAAATTCAGAACATTCAGCCTGCAGCGTTTGAAAGCATGCTGGGGATAGTTTCCCGACTAAGCCCACAGAAAAACATGGCCAGATTATCCTGCTCTATGTCTCTCCATCTGACATGTCAATGAAATAAAGTCTCTCAGTGACAATATCACCATTCAGAAATGATACAGTTATAATTTGCTGTGGATCTGTCAACCTGACCCAGGACCTGTGTCTGGAGTCTCTGACCCACTTCTGTCTAATTTTGATGCCCATCCTGCCCCCCACATATATTATAAATCCACAGAGTAGTATGCTGTGCTGCTCTTCTGTAACATGAATTTATGCTAATAGCTGTCTGCATATGCTTATATCACATATCTATATTAAACTTAATAGTCTGTTACATTGCTTCTTAACCCTGTGTCCACACATGATTAACTTTTCTGATTTCTTTCAAAACCGTTATTAACACAGTGTAGCATTTCACTCAACATGTCACTAAGTTTCTCTGCCTAGTATGGGAGTTTGGAGTAATTATACAGCTATGCGGCTCTTACAAGTAAAACTACGCAACCAAGGAATTACAAACATATTAAAAAGGAACCTTTTATTTTCTTGTTTATTTGCACAACCTAAAGTTTAGGCATGCTGGCAAAAACCTACAGATGATCTCAAAGGCAGGCTGTGAATAAGCAGACCCCTAACTTTTTGTACGTTTGTTAAGAAGAAAAATTTTAAGAAAAAAATACAATTAAAAAAACTAAGAAATAGAAAGATGAGATATCATGGAGAGAGAATAGACTCCTTTTTTTTAAACCTTACAGGTATTCTCCTTCGATGAGAAAAACCAAGGTAAGTATGAATTTGGAAGTAATTGGATATGTTCCACCAACTCTGATAGTTGATGACAAGCGAATGAATCTCTAACATTCACAACTTCAGTTTCTATTACTATAGGGTTGGGGAAAAAAAATGTAGGAAGATATCCCAGCTGTTTAAAACTCCCTGGGAAAGAAAGCTTTGAAGTGGTTGTCAAGGGGTCGGTCTCCTTTTGAACATGCCCTCTTTATCCATACAAGTTGGCAGGAGTTCACACTGGAGCACAGCAAATCTTGAATTGGAAACAGGATGCCAATTTTACAGCACCGTAGTCCTCAAATTGGCCAGTAAATAGGTTTTAAACAGATAACAGCTTTGCCAAATTCCTTATGCATCATGCAGCCAGTGGGCCATGTCTCAGACCTAAAGGACCTTTGTCAAGGAAGTGGAGTTTTAAACACACTGGTTGGAGAATCTTTGGCCCATGATCTGAAAAAGGCAATGAGCAACTTAATCTTTGCATATGATTGTGACAGATAAAATGTCACCATTTTGTGCCCAAAGATAATTTTGTGGGTGCTTGTGAGCTACAGTAGTATTTTGCATCCTAGATTCCTAGGGCCTATAGATACCAGTCTAAAAAACTTGAAGGGTTAATATTTGTATTTTTCAATTAATTATGCATACATTTTTTTCAAGGAGGACAAGAGGGGATCATCTGCATAGGAAATTACAATCATGGACACACTCTTCACTGATACAGATCAGTAGTAACTTATTAATAATTTTCTTACAGACTCAAAGAGATGTCTGGGATCAAGGAGAGTTTCAGTGACTTATTTGCCAATGGTCACACAGCTAGTATGTATAAGAAGCAGAATTTGAGCCCAGGAATTCTCATTTCTAAGGCTAGTCCTCTATTCATGATGGCATAATATGCATATAATACGAGGTATCCCCAAAAGCCAAAACTATTTAAAGCTACCCAAAGCTTTAAATAGCTTTAAAATGCACCAAGATTTTTGGGGCCATCTTGTGTATATATATGTGTGTATACACATACGTATATATACACATACATACATACACAGATAAATACATGATTTATACATACCAAGCATCAACAAATATATCATGACTATTTAAAAAATATTGCCCCTCAGATTATAAAGTACATTTTTAAATGATTGATATGATGAGAAAAACTTAGTAGTCTTTTTCATTGTTCCTGTGATCTTTTGTTCAACAAGTCTTTCAAAGGTCACATCAATTTTTAGGTAGATCCTGTAATAGTTGTGAGTTTGGGGGAAGATATTAAATTTCATCAATGCTTATCTGTTCTGCTGAGCCTCTCTGTGGCCTTTATCAGCTTGTCTAGTCATTCAAAAATTCACAGCAACTTAGAGATGGAATATTTTCCCATGGCCACTTTAAGAGCTTACCTTAGGGATAGTTGACTTCTGTCCGTCTGGAGATCTGCATAGAGTCCCTTCTTGGAGAGACAGAAACCAGGGAAGATCTTCTTACTTAGTGATAGCAGTGCTAGGAATGAAGGGTGAAAAGGTGGCGGGAAGGGATCCCTAGGAAAGAAGTCATAAATCCATACAGGCACGTCCACAGAGGTATGGGACAAACTGCTTAAAATAAGCAGATGCAAGATTAATTAATATAGAATAATTAATTAATTAAATGGTAATATGCTTACTTATGATTTAGATTTACCTTTCAACAAAAAGCAAGAGTAAAAATTTTGCTTTATATAATATTGCAATACCTTCCTGCACTCCTCATCCCCTCTTTTAATTTTCTTCATTGATTTGTCCCCTTGTGACCCATTGCACTTACATTTACTCCTTCAATGACAATACCTCCTCCCTATCAGTGCAGTCAGGTTGGATCAAGTCCTTTTTTGTTACATTTCAATGAAAAAAACTATAAATCTGTGGAAACTTTAATGATAGAGCTTTGGCAGGAATCTAGGACAACACTTCAAAATGCAAAATAGCTGACATTTAAGGGGGAAGGAATAAACATTTATATAGTGCCTACTATGTGCCAGGCACTTTGTTAAACACTTTACAAATGTTATCTCATGTGATCCTCACAACAATACTGTGAGGTAAGTGTTGTCATTACACCCATTTTACAGTTGAAGAAACTGAGGCTTTAAGGTACTGTAGCCTTCTGAGTGATTTGCTGAAATACTATAATCCACAAAGATAATCATCAAAATTAAAGAAAATTGGCAAACATTTTGATATATAGTCATGTGTTATTTGTAATATTTCATATATATTTTTAAACTGTAGCTGAAATTTTTATCAGTGTAGTCATCTTCTGGCAGGAATTTACTCTAATAATGCAAATCAGAACCTTCTCTGAAATTTATAATCTTGGCTGTTCATTCATTCATTTATAGCACTCTTATTTTTTATAATTTTGAATTTCTAAATTCTTCTCTCTAGCCCCTCCCCACCCATCGAAAAGGCAAGCAATATAATGCTCATTATACATGTGAAGTCAATGCAAAACATATTTTACATATCAACCATCCTGAAAAAAAAGCAAGAAAAATAAAGTGAAAAGATATGCTTCAATCTACACTCAGAGTTTATCAGTTCACTCTCTGGAGATGGATAGCTCTTTTCATTGAATCTGTTAAACTGTCTTGGATCATTGCATTGATCAGAGTAGCTAGGTCTTTCACAGTTGATCATCATTACAATATTGCTGTTACTGTGGACAGTATTTTCCTAGTTCTGCTCACTTCGATTTGTATCAGTTCATATCAATCTTCACAGGTTTTTCTGAAACCATCCTTTTTCTGATACTGTCATTTTTTAAGGCACAATAGTATTCCATCAAAATTATATACCACAAATTGTTCAGCTATTCTCCAATCAATTGCCAATTTTTTGCCACCACAAAAAGAGCTGCTATAAATATTTTTGTACATACATATCATTTTCCCCTTTTTTTTTATCTCTTTGGGATACAGACCCAGTTGTAGTATTGCTGAGTCAAAGTGCATGCATAGTTTTATAGCCCTCAGGGCATAATTCCTAGTTGTTCTCTAGAATTATTGGACCAGTTCACAACTCCAACAATGTATTAGCATATGTAGTTTTCCACATCCTATCCAGCATTTGTCATTTTATTTTTCTGTCATATTAACTGATCTAATAGGTGTGAGGTGGTACTTTAAAGCTGTTTTCATTTGCATTTCTGTAATTATTAGTGATTTAGAGCATTTTTATGTGGCTAGTGTTAGTTTTGATTTCTTCTTCTGAAAATTCTCTGTTCATATCTTTTGACCATTTATCAGTTAGGAATGGTTCTTATTTTTATAAAGAAAAACAGAGTCAAAATAAAGAAAAATTAGAAGAAGCTGCAATTTATAATCTGAGAGAATTGTCTGATGCACTAATAGGTTGAATAATTTTTTCAGGATCACATAGTTAGTACCTGTTAAGACAAGAGTAGAATCCAAATCTTCCTGACTGTGAGACCAGCTCTCTATCCATTACATGATACTGTCTCTCTTAATAAGTTATTAGTATATGTATTTAATTTTTACAACTTACTTAAATATATTTTAAGGGTATTTAATTTCATTAGGATAATACTCCCTTTACCATGGCATATTGAAACCTCTCCACAACTTATAATGTTCCTTTGGCGGGACACTACAGAATAAACTATCTTCATACACTCTATAACATGGGTCACTCTATCAATGACTTTCCATTTTGATGGAACCTGCTGGTGTTCCACTTGCCTGATGGAGATGAATCCAAGGTTACTTTCTTGCTATAATATTAGACGATTTCAGTGACCATGGGTCATGGTTTTCCAGTGTTATATGTGTATGTGTGTTTTGTATAAATTTGATTAACTTTTTTAAAAAGCTATTTTATTTATATCCACATCCTTTAACCTGGGATTCCTGATAATCATGTAATGGAAGAATCACTGGACTGAGCAATAAGACATCTGGATTATAGGCCTGACTTTGCTTCTGAACTAGTGTGACTTTGAGCAACTTGCTCAACTTCTCTGGGCCTCAGTTTCCTCATCTGTAAAATGAGAAGGTGATGATGGCAAAGGTCCTTTTAGCTCTAATATTCTATGATTTCTATTTAACATTCCATATCACTGGTGGTTTGCAAGGACTGGGAAAGCTGGATAGCTGCAGTCTGCTTTTAGACAAATAAAGGGAAAGGTCAAAGATCTCATGACTACTAAACTTCCCTAACATGTTAAGATATTAAAAAACAAGCTGCTCTCCTTGGTGTTAATTGTGACATGGAATACAAAACTAAAACTATTCCATGTGCATGGCATGATCTAATGTGGTCTGTTTGTGTTTAAATAGTTTGAGGGTTTCTAATGGTATAACAGAATGCATGATGACATAAAGTTAGCCAGTTGGGCACTACTTATTTCAGTATGCATTGCTATTTATATGACCTGAACATATGTAATACATATGCCAGATAAATAAGAGGAAAATATGTTTCTCATCAGAGTGGAAATAACCCTGGTAATGAACAAGTTTTCATTAGAATAAAAAGTGTTTTATACTTTGGAACTGATGCAAAGAATCTATAATAGACACAATCCTTGAGCCTCAGGACTTCCCATCCTGACTGGATTATCCATGAGGTTTGGGTAGGTTTCAATCCCAACTTCTTTATTGCTGTAAAATCTATATGTATGCTACATTATTTCACACTCAAGAAAATGTTCTGAAGAGTTTTTTTTAACTACCTTACATTAGCAGAGTCATAACAGTTTCATTTTGTTTTGTTTACCAATTTTTTTTTAAATCACTGCTTGTTAATGTCAAATTGCCTGGTTTTTGGTTTTGTTTTTTTTTTCTCATTTAAAGACTGGTGTCTCAATTGTAGATAATACAGAATACATTCTCTAACTATTAGGGTGAGAATAAGGACCATAGCCCAATGCTGAACTCAGTAAAATTTCTACAGATAATTTGATAATTCCTCTTATGGCCAATTAGTTTAGACATTTGGAAATATTTGTAAGATGATTAATATGTCAGTTGGAATGAATTTCTAACTCAAGGAAAACTTTCTTGTATTTTGCTTATATTTTTAATTTTATCAACCAAATTATTTGAATTAAAAATTTTGAGAAAGAAAATCTGAGATCAATATTTTATGAAATATTAAATATCATTTCATTGATAGAAGCAAAGTGTAAAGAACAGATACTACCATCAGAAAAATGCTGTCCATCATATATGAATATTATCCTATTAGAACACATTCTAAATTGTGAGTTCCTGTAAATTAATAAGTCCTTGGGAGCAGCCTCATGCCATTTTTCATCTGTGTATCCTTGGCACCCAGCACAGGTTTGTTTTTGTTTTTTTAAACATAAAGTGGCTACTTCCTAGATACTTGTTAAGTTATTGAATTCAATTCTGTTTTTACAGTAGAGGTGAGGGACTGCACTGAGCTGTCCATATTTTGTCATCCAGTCTCCTTTGGGATCTACAACATTTGCTTCAAGTGGCCAGATGGAGCCCTTCAACAGAGTGTGAACCATTCAGGGCCATTCATAATAGGCCTCAGTTAGAACACATTTGGAAAGAGGGCTGATAATAATGCAAATGTCAAGTTGCCTCTAACTTAAGACTAATGGAATAAACATACAGTGATTTTATGATTGTGGTACATATTTTCATGCCTATACTTGTTGTTATTTGTGGGAATACTTACAATCTATTTTCCCAGGAGGAGTAGCAAAAGCCAAAGATCCCATGACCTTTACATTTTTTTTAAAATGGGAAGGAAGGTATTAAACAAGCTACATTCTTACCACAGATTACACGTATGGTACTGCAAAACGAAAAATGTTTTGGACCTGTATGTAATGGCATAATATGGACATAATACGACCAAAAAAACACCGATTTTGTGGTTATCTAATGATACAAAACAACCTATAATGACACAAATGGAATTAAATTAGGCAGTTGGGCATATTAGAAGATTCTTTTGAGACATGGAGGTTTTAAGAATTAGCTATGATGACCCTGAAAAACATTTGGGCAGAATGTATATAATTATTCCAAAATAGGCATGTCCATGACAGACTAAGCAACCTTTTAAAGCTCTATCTATGTACCTATCTCTGTATGTGATATATATGTATACTGTACATACACGTGCATTTATACACATTTGTGTGTATTACATGTGTATATGTATTGCATATAACATATATATGTTATATGTATGTGTGTATATATATGCCTCACTTCCCTTTGATAAATAAAAGATATTTGCAAAATGTATCACCTACTAAGAACAGGGCCCATAAGATAGCTTAACATATTCAAATTTGGCCATATTTCTTTCCTTATAGAACCAGGGTGGAACTCAATGTTTTTCCCATGACAAAAAGACTCTGGAAGGTCTTCTCAAATTACCAACTAATTTTGCATACACAAAATGGTGCTCATCCAAT